AATGTCAAGAAAAGTGTTTTTTTAATAGTAAAACTACATATGTACATAAAACAAGTTTTAGAATGATTTTAGGAATGTAGAATCAAAAAAATTGCCAAAGGACTTATCAAATAAAAATCATTCTTGTAACCACAAATTGGTATTAAAATAACCATATTTACTTGGGATGTGGCTACTAATGTATTTACCTTGTAATTGATACATGCTATTGTCCATAAAGCAAGTTCCTAAATTATAAGGCTCAAACTTATTAGTTAAATATTTAACATGTTTCAAAATATATATATATATATATCTTTTTTTGTATTCATAAATGAATTTTTATAGGATTCGTTAAAAGTGCATTCATCTATTCACAATTTAAAATCTATATATATATATATATATATATATTTACTCTGTATGAAATAAAATAATATTTTTTAAAACAATTTATTGTAAAGGAACGAAAATACGAATTTAATTACACAACATAACTTCACACAAACCCAACAAGCTGGTATTATTTGACAGCATTGGAGTTAATTTGGTTAAATTTAGATGCTTTCTGATATCTTCTTTTAATGTTGTAATCTTATCAACAATTATTTCGATTATTCGTAATAATTTATAAATAATTAAATTAAAAAATAACCATCCTTAAGTTAATAGCAAGTTTTTTTTATTATGGCTAGTTTTACAATAAACAATTAAACCATATAATCAAACATTCGAGTTAAAAGAAATTCTTAGATAACTTTTTATTTTTTATTTTTCTTAAAACCCCCTTTCACAAAATATTCTGATCAGAAAAACGTTGCTAATGTATCACAAAATTCATTAATGAAATATTTTATTTAATGAAAATTTATATAACTAAGAACTTTTCTCAAGGATTCATCAAATGCAGATTGTCAACATGTACACAATGATATGAAAAAGCAAATGCTACATTTCAATAATTCAAGTCTTACTGTAAACTTTGAATGTGATGCCTCCCATTTCATTCTATTTTAAAATTTTTAATAACTCTCACCATTATTGGTCTATGTCATGTCAAAACACCAAACCTATGATACTTTTGTCCACACTTGATCTCACATCTAAATCTTTAATTTATATATATATATATATATATATATATATTCACATTCTTATTCTATTTTTCATCTTTTTAAAAGACAAATAAGTTGTGGATTGGTACATAAGACTAGTGATGGAGAAGTGTTTTGCATACATGCAAAGATGTCTCATATCCACAGCCTTGGTTTTGTCCCTTATTGCCCCTCTTTGTATGCCAAAATCACGGTGGGACTGTAATCACACAATTGGAATATGAGAATGGAATGTGTCATGTGGTTAAAAAAAAACAAAGAAAGAAAAAGGGACCCATTTGTAAGCACTAGATGTTTTCATTGTCTCTATGAGGTGATAAATATATGGATGGATGTGGATAATAATGCTTTTTTTTTTTTTATTTATTTTTTATTTTTTTTTAAGAAAAGGTTATGAAGATTTTGGTGTGTGACATTTGACTTTGGTTTTGATTTTTAAAAGAGCATCTTCACCTCCTTCTCAAATTTTTAGTTATTTCATGAGTCTTGGGTTTCTTGCATTGCATTTCTGATGTCTTGCAATACATTATTTATGGAATTGAGGTTATTGTTTCGTTTAAGCAAAAGTCTCAAAAGAGTCAAATAGGGATTGTATAATTATTACAATTAATCTTTTGTGACTTTCTAGCCTTGCATCATTAAAGCAAATTTTATATATTTTTTTTCTAAGTTGAGTTGTGCTAGATTGCAGGGTGGGATCTTTTGGTATGACCTAATCAAATTACCCTAAGCTTGTTTATGGTATCTCAGATTTTAACGTGCTTAAATTTGATTCCAATATAATACATGATTTTTAGAATAAGTTATAGGTAAACATTAAAAATTAAAAAGATATATTTTTTTTTAAAATCTTTCAACATGATTCATGAACGAGAGCTAAGTTCATTGTATTTAATACTCTTCATAGTTTTGAAATAGAAATAGCAATACTTTTTATTCAGCAGATACTTAAAAATTAGAAATTATTATTTTCATTATTATTATTCACCATGTCACTTAACAAAAATCGATTAACATTTTTTATTTTGAAAGTACATACATACACATGTGCACCGAATTGATTCATTCAAAATTTAATGGAAAAGAATGGTGATCCATAACAAATGAACCGCATCAAACAAAAAAAAAAAAAAAAAAAAAAAAGTGTATATTTGCATTCCTCTTTTATTTTATTTTCTTTTCTTCCCATAAAGAAACAAATTCGGTTAAAAAAAAGGCTTCAGACTCTGATTTTAATTCTAATTATCCTCTCACAATTACCAAAATTTATTTTGGAAATGCTCAGAAATTGCTTTATCAAATAGTAAGGATGGCAAGTGGCTTTAAAAAAAGAAGAAACAAAGAATCATATCACCCCAAAAGAATCAATATCCAAAATCCCAAATATAAAATTTAAAATATTAAAATAAAAACCAACATAAAAAATGGGGTTGTAGTTTCAAGTAATAAAAATAATGAGGAATGTGATGGAGTGAAACACCTACTCTCTCAAGTTAATTAATGCTTTTGGTGGTCAAAGTGTCATCGAGAGCCAATGAATGAGCAAAGCACAAAACCTAAAACACTTTGGTAGGCAAAAATAAACTTCATTTACTATTTATTATTATTGTTATTTGTTATTATTTTTGTTTTATAATTGGTCAAATGGAGCACACAAGAATGTAGTTGGGTACCATACCAAAGCCCCACCCACACAAATGAGCTTTTGTTATTCAAATCCCACACCAACCTCACTTAATGAAACCATCTTCCATACTTCCTCCTCCCAATGCCAATATGAGTCTTTACTAGGGCCTCAAGTAAAATGGTGACCAAAGTAACATTCATTTGTGGTGGAAGATTTGATTTTTATTCTTTACTTATATGCATTAGACATAAAATAGGGTTGGTTGTGTGAGATGAGGGAATGGGATTCGTTGAAATGGGTGATAAGTTTTATTGGAGTTGCACTATTTTAGATGAAGGATTTGTGTCGTTAAAGTTGAACAAATCTTTATCCAAAGTCAGAAAATCATGGTTTCTTTCTTTAGGTGAATATCACGCTGCAATCCCGGTGTAAAGCATTCGTCTTCATGGTCAATAATAAATAAGGTTTGCCTTATTGAAAATTCTTAGAATTTAGTGGAATTTAACGGATGTAATCATCATGTCTTGTATACAAATTAACCCTAAAAATCCAACGTATGTTCAAAGAAGTACAACCTCAACTGCAAATTGGTGGTCCATTCGTAGTATTTCGCAACAAGGTTTTTTTTTTTACATTTTTTTAAATTTTATTTTTAGTTTTATTTTTGTAGTTTTGTTCACAAGATCCAAATTCTAGACTGAGAATTGAAGGTGACGTGGACAAAGATATGAACAAACCCTAAATCCGGCCACCACGACACGCAACGAAGCCCTCACTCACTTCGCACGGCGTGCAAACCTGCCAGACGGATTTCAGTAGCGCGATGGCAAGCTCGACGAGATTGAAATCAACTCAGAGGCATAGAATTCGCGACCCCATCCGCCATCGCCACGAACCCTCTCCTTATCGACCAAGAGATCACTCCCGAGGTCGCCAAGTTTCGAGAGCGAAGTGGCCCACACAGAGTCAACAGCAACTCCCTCGTAGTAAGTAGGTAATGTGTGCGTGTGTGTGTGAGAGAGAGAGAGAGAGAGAGAGAATTGCCCTTTTCTTCTTCTTCGTCCCGAGTTGCGGAAAGGGGAGACACCGCCTCGCCACGCCTCCCAGAGCACTTCGTCATGGCTGCGAAACCCTAATCCTAGAGCACACCACATGGCGAGAATAAAACAAGCGGGGGACGAATCCCAGTCGCGAGGGGGGGGGGGCTCTATCGACGTGGCAAGTTCCACGGCCACGGACCCAGTAGTGGGTCGGCCATAGGTTCACGGCCATTTGTCCCACACGGCCACGAGTCCGTGCGAGATATGCGATGGACACCTGTACTTTACATCAGGATCGGTATGTGTGCAGTGATTGGTGGAAAATATTGGATGAATAGTGGACTAATGGACGAATGTCGGGTAGTGATGATTATGGGTCGTCGTTCATGCTTGATGATCCCTGGGACTATTTTGGTTATACTTTTTGGGGAACTTTTTGTGGGGAACTTTGCGAGGAAGCCTTTATATTTTGTAAAATTCGAAATATTTATTTTGGCCGCGGAAACTGGTGGGGCTCGCAAAAGACCGTGGCTTGGTACTTGAGACCAAAGTATCTGATCTATTCACCCTCTCCTTGTAAGGTCACTTTCCCTTGAGGGGTGCTGGGGCCCATTTAAAAAAACCCTCCCGAACTGGTAAATATGTTAATAACAATAATCTAAAATAAGTCCATTCCGCTGCTTAGGACTGAAGCTTGGGACCTATGGCAGAGGACAACTTGGAAGGGGGTGAGTGGATCCCCACAATTACCCGGACATGTGGATTTTACTTGCCGTTCATAGAGGGAATAAATATAATTGACCCAGTCATTCCTAGAGGGAATAAATATGATTGATCCAGTGCGCGTGACATGTTTCGAACCCGCGTGATGAAGGTTGGGAGGAATAGAATCTCCAACGTGGCGGGAAAAAGATGGGGCCGGGGGAGGAGTGATTAACGATGGTCTGGCTGTGGTAGATATCAGGGACGGGGAAGTGAAACCGCGCGGAGGGAGTTACTGCAGAAATATCTGCAAAAGGGCCTCGTACTTTTGCGGCATTCACAATCAGCAGAAGCCCCCAGAAGACGCCACGTTTTGCCGTGGGCGGCTCCCACCGCCCAACACGTTGCGGCCCCTCTGCGTTGGTTTCATGCCTTCCAGGTCGCTTCGTCCGTCCGCCCGTTCTTTTCGTTCGTCCGTCGCGACTCTCACACGTTGCCCTTTGTTTCTCTCCCAGTATAAACCATAAATACGACCCAGATTTTGTCTCTGGATCCCTTCCCGGCGAAACTAAGCCTGTAGTTGCTCTTCGAAATCCACAACCTTCTACTTCTTCTTCGTCCAGTGGAGGTCATCGCAACTAAGGTTGTACCACCATTCTGTGCACAGTCATTGCGTACTTCTGTGGCGAGGTCCGTGCAACAGCAGCTGAATCCGTTGTTGAATCGAGCGTGAGTGTGACATAAGTGATTCACTTGGGTGGGGTACACGCGCTCGGGAAGAGAGTGAAGTGAGAGGAGAGGAGAGTAGAGAAGAGGGGAGGAGGATTTTTTTTTTTTTCTATATGATTATCGAGGATTTAGTGGGTTTGTTGTTGTTGAATTTCCAGGCGATTTGGAATGTGGTGGATAGAGCTGGATTGGGTTTTTTGAGTAGTGGTGATCTAGGACCGAGGGGTGTGAGGATTTCAGAAGTTTCTGGAATTTTACTGGGTGGGGTGGTCGAACTGTGTCATCGATTGAGGTAGTTGTGTATCGTGAGCTTGGGAGATTGGGTGTGTAGTTTTGGTAGGTGTGGGTCGAGCGCTCCAAGCAGTGTGCGGGGTAGGAGTCTCTCGATGGTTTCCCAAGTGTAGTGACGTTTTGTTGGGCCGATATCAGTTGCCAAGCTGCAGCGATCGGTGGTTTTTGTCCCGCTGAAGAGGATTCGATTGCGACTTCGAAGATGCTGTCGGCAGTCCTTCAGGAATTCGAATTCTGACAGCATTGTGCCTTCGCGCGAGGAATTCCCGTTCCTGCGGAATGCCACTGGTGTCTGCAGATGAATTTGCCTTGAACTCGTGAAGTTCCTCTAGTATCAATTGACAAGAGTTCCGAGTCAGTTGGGGACGAAGTAACCCGAGAAAACCAGTCCTCAATTGTAACATAGATTTTTCCTGATCGTCGGCGTCTCCTTATCAGCCTTGTCAGTGTATCGAATTTCTCGCATTGACCTCAGATTTCACAGTCTCGACCTTTTCGATGATCCAGCTTTCTACCATCCTATCGCCTTTTCGCAGTTGGTGCAGGGTCTTGCAAAGATTGCAGCACAGGCTCTCATTCTTTAGACCAAACGAAGGTGTCAGTTCCAGTGGTCGTATTAAATTCCTGTAAGCTATCAGGTAGGACTGTCTCCTCGTTCCAAACCCAGTTCGCCGAAGGGACGGAGTTTTATTACTGTCGCGATCGTTCTCTACATTCCGAGGAGGTTTCGTTGACATCCGGGAAATTTCATTCTGGAAACATATCTGGGTAGTAGCGAGAGAGAGAAATGAGCACAAATTTTGAGTACACAGAGGGTTTGACAGTGCTCTTTGTCCAACACAGTATACCACTACCACTAAGAAGGCTCAAAACTGAAACAATTCTGCCAATTCGTTCATGAAGGAGATTCTTATCGAGGAGAAATTCGCTCACATCGAAAGTCTCCGAAATCACGGTTGAAGAAGACCTGTTCGTGCTCGATGGTTGATCCGGACCGCAGACCAGACCGCGATACGCGTTGGTGGATGTACTGTCAACCTCACATTCGCGCCCTTAGGGAAGTCATGTACTCAGCCAACGCGAACAAAGAAGTGGAGATACTCTTGCAGAAGTGTGTCTCCCTGTACATGGCCACGATCAACTATAATTCGTCGCTTGACGACGAGAAGATTTACATTGCTCTCACAGGTTGAACGAGTCGCCTGCTCTCATTGCTATCATTTCTCTGTACCCTCTAGAATGCGATATTTGTTCAGAACTTCACTCTTTTGTGCAATCTGATCAATTTCACATTATTTCTCAGGAGGTTTCGTCACAAGTATGGAGGCGTCCTTTATGTGGATCGGAGGATGGCGTCCCACCACAGCTTTGCTGCTCGTCTACTCGCTGATGGGTGTCCAACTGGAGGACGAGATTCGCAACTTCGGCTATGGTATCCGGGACACGACGAATACCTCGGCGGTCCTCTCCCACAGGCAGCTAGAGAACCTGACGAACGTACAAAAGAGCACCCGCAACGTGGAGAAGAAGCTCTCTAAAAAGCTGGCTCACCTTCAGGTAGATCATTCAACCTCGACACTCTCACCCCAATGCCCAGTTAGACTTGGTCTTGCGGTCTTCATAGAATGGTTGCAGGCGATCAGTTGCAGGCTAGGATTTGGAAATGGTAATGGCAATGAAAATGAAAAAACTAGCATTGGCACTGGGCTCTGGCACTGGTACTTGGTACTATGAATCTCTTCGTCCGCTGACGGTGGTGACGTCTTACACATCACTGGGTAGGTGTATACTAAAGGACGTGCTGACACACGTGCAGATGCTTATAAGCGACCAAGATGTGCTTGCAGCCGTAATGCAGGTAGATTCATCAACAAGTAGGTCAGGCTCCAAGGCTAACCCTGACATAAGAACAGTCCTCAAGCCTCGAATGTCGCGACTAAAGAAACTACTGATACAGGCAGACCAACTGCGTTTACACACACTCCACCAGCTCTTTCTGGTTCTCACCCCAGTGCAAGTAGCTCGCTGCGCCATAGCCTCATTTGAATTGGCGTTTATGATGCGTGAGCTCGGCAATTCGGCTCACTGTAGGAATTTACAAACTGCAGTCCCATCTTCTTCTAACACATTCACTTCCCAAAGTCAAGGCGACTTTGATGTTCAATCCTCTAGAACTTTGCCCTCGCGGCTGGATACTGGCCCCAGCTGCAGCACTAAGGATTCTGGCACTAGTGTAGAAGAGTGTAGTGTCGACGATTGATGTGTCTCAGTCTACATTTAGATCTAGGCATATATATATATATATATATATATATACATACATATCTATCTATCTATAAATGTAAATGTATATGTGTGTGCGTATGATACGTATTGGCTGCCAAGAGTTGCTCGTGTTTACAAGGGCCACTCTATGCGATAGTCTAACTCCTCAAAGTCGATCTATGTGCCAGCAAAGCCTGCAGTGAGTGCCATTGCCGGTGCCGTCCTCTCTTCATCAGATTTTGGGAGTTGGATCCCCCGGTGCGGTGCAGATCGATGCGAAGTCTGAGCCAGGCCGACTCCTAACGGGCCCAAACTTCTGGAAAGAGCTAGCTGCGGCATTGTGATGGTTAAATCTACTCCTGGCGGCAAGATCATTTGAAGGAAGGCGAGATGAGGGTAAGCATTGTGAGGTTCCTAGTAGCAATGTCTCGCCATTTTGTTAGATATCTGGTGCAAAATTAGAGAGAAATCATTTCTGTAACCTCACTGGTGCTTTACGTTCTGTCTAGAATTTTAGTACAGGTAGCTTTCAGATTTTGTTGAGCGGTGCATTGGTTTTGCCGTAATGATGTGGGCAGTTTTCCCACAGCGTTAAGTTCAGCTTGCCGTAAATGATGGGGTCTTGTCTAGTCTTCACGATATCGTCATTCCCCTCTACTTGAAATTTTGGGTCATTTGCATTTACATTTCTCAACACTTAGGAAGAGTACTTATTCATGTATGATTTATGTGCCACACGGAAACACAACATATTTCTATCCCCTCTTTCGAAATCGAGGGCTATTGTATCCTTAGGGTCGCTCTATTGAGAAGCCATCTTCCTCCCTGCAAAATGATGCGCGGGTGATGATGACAAACTCTTGCAACTATATTGGCTATGGTTCAGCTCTACAGGTACAGCTAAACATCACATGCTAAGGTGATCGAAGATGGTCAGCCTGGAGGCTGCTAGCAACGGCTGCCTGAACCCATCGACAAATGCTGATGGAAGAACTTCTGTATTTCGATGGCAGTTACCTACCGATAGTGGTGACAGTAGATGGATATGAGGACATTTACGATTGAATTCTTTAGTTTATGAAGAAAAAGGACAAAAGGTCTTTATACGATCAAGGAGCGTAAAGAAATGTCTCCTATGCTCTTTTGTATACCATTCAGTTCTTCACACTGGTAATAAACTTGTAAAAGTTCATTCAACAGATTCTTGGTTTCATCGTGCTTAATAGTGTGCTTAGAAATTCCACTGCATTGACGTCCTTCGTAGTTCAGCACATCGGCACTGCAACAGAAATTTAGGATCATGATTTGAACACAATCAGGCTCACAACAACTGAAAAGAAACAACACAAAAATCTTATTTCATTTCTAAGCCTACTAATCGGATCTTAGAATACCATACTGAAGCACCACATAACCACTGCATTAGCCAAATCCTAATCCACTGATTGAGCTCTACTACATACGGAGCAAACGTTAAACTGGTTTTTCTCTTCACACACATTTCTACACAAAAATCATCATAACCAGGCTTTGATTGGCTGTGACACTGGTTATTTTCTATCTACAACCCTGTTCACACTTTACGTTTTTTTTTTTTTTTTTTTTTTTTTTTTTTTCTTTTGTCTTTTGTCTTTTTTTTCACTCTAAAAATTCTTAATTTCATTAATTCCAACACGTATGCTTGAAAATATTGAAAATAAGGAATGAAATTAAGACATTATTATTTTAAAACAAAGCATCACTTGGATATTTACCACTCAAAAGGAATATCCCTAAAAGTTAAACAAGTATAATGTTCCATTAACTATTATCCTTCAATATAAAATATACAAATTAAGACAATTTTGAATGTATAAAAAAGTTTTCTTTTTCTTTTTCTGATTGTTATCATTTTCTTTAAAATAATATTTTAATCAAATGTTTTACTGTAATAATATTATAAAAATATCAAAAATACATGAGACCAAATAATGAATATAATAATGATATATTAAATTTATGTATTTGAATTATAAGATTGTACATTTTATAGCAATAGTTTTAATAAATAAAATGGAATTTAATATATTTATATAAATATATAAAATAAAATAAAATCTTTAAAGTATACTATTTAAAAATGCCATTTGGTTTATGCAAAGAAGCAAGCAAACAAGATTGATCAAATTTTGATAAGTTAAGTTAGAAACATGATAGCCATTCAAAACATTACTTGAACTCAATATTCATACAAAAATTTAATATATTTTTATGTTAAATTGTTACATCTTTTATTAAATTTTAGAAAAATAATTAGATGCCATATTTAATATGATATATATATTCAAAAATATATATTTGAATATACATATTTAAAAAATATGTTTATAAGATTTAAAATATGAAACATTTTTTAAAAGAATATTTTTTAGCAATAGTATAGTAACAAATAAAACTTGTTAAGATATAAGATATTAATCTAAAATTGTAATGAAAACAGTTTAAGCAATTTGTATAGAATAAATAAATAATTGGTCCATCACATAAATGAATAATATAATATAAAAGTCATTTGCAATAATAAAATTTAGCAAACTTGTAATAATGTTTTTGTATATGTTATGTTGTTATTGCCTAAACCACTCAATTATATTAAAGTAAATAAAAAAAAAATAGTTAAATTAGTTAGATTATATTTTTATCCAAGAATATTTTTTTTGACACACATTGGAATTTTAATTAAGGAGTAGCACGTTTATGTATTCTTCATGCTCGTCATGACTTCCCAGCAACATGATATTTTGGATACAATAAGACTTTGGAACCGATATCTAGGGATTTTTGGTGGCCTCAAATGTGGAAGGCAGTTAAAGATTTTGTACAATCATGTGATGTTTGCTCAAGATCAAAAACTCCTTGTCATCGACCTTTTGAACTTCTTCAGCCATTACCCATTTTAGAATAACCATGGTCTTCTGTTTCTATGGACTTCATCATGGATCTTCCAATCTCAGGTTCTTATGACTCTATATTCGTGATAGTAGATCATTTTACCAAGATGGTTTATTTTGTATCATGTATAAAATCTATCACACGTGAAGAAACAACTAAGCTCTTTCTTGACAATATCTATCGCTATCATGGATTATGCAAGGATATTATATCAGATAGGGGAACTCAATTTGTATCAAGATTTTAGCGGATTCTTTTCAAGATTCTAAAAGTGGATATAAAACTATCTTTCGCATTCCATCTTGAAACTGATGGACAAACAGAGCATATTAATCAAGTTTTGGAGCAATATTTAAGATGTACTATTAACTACCAACAAGATGATTGGACAACTCTTTTACCATTGGCAAAGTTTGCTTACAATAACACGGTGTCATGTTGTAACATGACTATATGGTAAAAGATGATAATATGGATCTTATTATAGAAGAGCCAAGTTAAAAGAAAAGGTAGAAAAACATGGATAAAAGATAGGAAGGTAGTAAAAATTTTAATAGTAATGCTGTCTTTTTAGAAAAAATAGCTTCTGCTTACTTTGTAGGACCAAAAATATGGCAAAATAAGGTAGATTGGAAAAATAAATAATATAGACATCTTTAGGAAAAAGTTAAGAGTAAATTTTAGTAAAATTTACTAAAAAAAAACTAGATGTTGATATGCGGAGAGGGCCGATTATGAATTAGGATCAAAATCAGACCCTAAGGCACAATACCGAGTCTCGACGACGACTTTAGGACTCTTTGGCAGATTGGAGAGTGGAGTTTGATAGCAAATTGAATAAGATTTCTATAGGTGTTGATATTAGGTGGTTTGGAGTTGTTATGACTTTGTAAGAGCTTTGCAAAGTCAAGGTTTGTTTTGGACAACTTAGGTTTTATGAAATAAAATAGGATTTATGTTTTGGGTGATTTCGAGAGTTTTGTAGTAGATCTATGAGTGAAATTTTGTGGATTTTGATTATACTTGTGTTCAATATCTGTTGTGAATTTGAACTCGATCTAACGGTTGAATTGAAGGATATTGAGGTTTAAGTGGATCAAGGTCTCAAAAAGTAGATTTTTTGGTCTAGTGAGGGTTTTTAAGATTACTTGCAATCTACTACTTGGATTGGAGTTAAACTTATGTGAGAGGATATTAGACTTATTTTCCTATGTGTATAAGAATTTTAAGATCAATCAAACGGTGAAAAGAAGAGATATTAGCTCTGGAAGATTAGCATCAAGATTGGAGAAGGAGCTGGCCAATACCCGAGCACATTTTTGAGGTTATCGTCAATTTGGTAACTCTGTTCCTTTTCAATTTTTTTTTTCTTTTTTTTAACTTATTGTTTTAGAAGTGTGAAAAATTTTAGTCAAGATCAACGATTTATTCATTAGTTATTGAGGTTTAAATTTGTTATAGGAATTATTAGGGTTTGGTTTAGGGTTTGGTTAGGATTTGGATTAAGGTTTGGGTTAGGATTTTATTTAGGATTTAAGATTTGATTAGGATTTTATTTAGGATTTAGGATTTGAATTAGGGTTTAATTTAGGATTTAGGATTTGGTTAGGGTTTGATTTGGGATTTAAGGTTTGATTTAGGGTTTGGTTAAGATTTGGTTTAGGATTTGGTTGGGGTTTGGTTTAAAGTTTGTTTAGGGTTTGATTTAAGATTTAGGATTTTATTAGGATTTAAGATTCAATTAGTTTTGGCCTTAAGTTTGAATGAAGTTCAATAGGATTTTAACTAGAATTAAATTAAGATTGAATTGAGATGTATTTGAGTGATATTTGTGATCCTGCTAATATTTCTTTAAGAATTCTTATTCTTTGTTTGAAATTTTTTTGAGGTTTTGTTCAACAAATCAATCCAATCGCATATCGTTTACATCTACTGGAGTCAATGAAAATCCATCCAGTATTCCACGTGTCTCTTTTTGAATCATACAAGACAGTGGACATACCAAGAAGATGACAAGTTCCACCTCCTCCTATAGAAGTGGACAATAATAAAGACTTTGAAGTAGAAGAAGTCTTAGATTAAAGGTGGCCCCAAAATAAATTAGAATATCTTGTCCATTGGCCCAAATATGATATTAGTGAAAGCAGATGGAAGCCAATAAAGAATCTTGTAAATGTAGCAAAGGTGGTGGAGGCTTTTCATCGACGACATCCATCAAAATCAAGATGAAAACCTTCTTTATAAGAGAAACAACATCTAGAGAAGATAACATTCTACTTTCAATCCTTGTTAATAGGTTCTTTGTAGTTGTGACGCTCGAGAGATGGAGAACCAACAACCAACAGATTCGACTCAAAAGCCTTTATTTGCTGACCTATCAGACGAGACATTACGATTGTTAGAACCTTTAAGACGACGCAATCGAGATGAAGATCTTCAAGAACGACATATTTTTCCTCGAATAGATGGCAAAATATAACGTGTTTGGTACCACGACTTGGGAAGAGACTCTTGATGTTTGGTGATTTTACTAATGGTAGGAACAACTCTTGATGGTGTTCCAAATATTCTATTCGAAGGAAGTTATGAAGGCCTCAACAATGATCAAATAACTGGGTGGTCTTCCCGCCTTGGTATAGAACACTACCGATGGTTGAGAGGCCCTATCAATCATCTTCAAAGAGAACAAAGATCAGAGTACGTGGCGAATACAATTTGTTGCATCATAGATTTCTTCAACATATGATGACCGCTCTTCGTGGAACTCATCCCTAGAAGGGGGGTAATGTCATGGACATACTCATGTAAGCCAGTACTTATATATATAAATAGATAAAAGTAAGTAAAAGTAGATAAAAGTAAGTTAATTCTATAATATTTGATATGAAAGCTTCCTAGAAGCTTGATAGATGCTGCTTTGACTTTATAGGTATCTTTAATTGACTTTTTGGATTAGAAACGTGGCCAACAAGTTGGGCGTGTGCCACACATATTGTTAGCTTAAAGACCAAGGTAACAATGTGGCCCACACGTAGAAAAACTTGCCTTAGAAGTCAAGGCATGTGTCCTACAAAGTCAACACATATTGGAGGTCCTATAGAATGTCACCACGTAGTCCCTAGTTAGATAGTATATATATAGAGATAAGAGTGAAGCCTTCTTAACTCTTATCAATTCTTTAATTGCTTCCAGTCTAGTTTCAAGGGTCTCTAGTTTTCTTGTCTTTTGACAATAGCCATTCCAGTTTCTCTTTCAATATACATAATTATT